TTAGCCTATTATTTAACACTGTTAATCAAGAACTTGAAAACCTGAACGAATGGTTTAAGGCTAACAAACTCTTCTTAAATGTCGAAAAAAGTAAATATATTCTTTTTACAAAATTATCAAAATCTGAAACCCTCCCCTTAAAACTACCTGATTTACTAATTGATAAAACTAAACTTAAACGAGAATACTCAATCAAATTTTTAGGCGTAATTCTTAATGAACATCTTAGCTGGAATAATCATATCAAAGTAATAAAAAATAAGATATCAAAAATTATTGGTATTATGTATAAAACAAAACATCTCTTAAACACAAGTTGTTTAAAAAATATTTATTTTGCATTTATTCATAGCTACATCAGCTACTGCAACATTATCTGGGCAAGTACTTATCCTTCAAAGTTAAATATGATCTACAAAATACAAAAACGAGCAATTCGCTTGATATTAAATGCAAATAAATACGCTTGTGCCAGACCACTACTAAGAGAAATTGGAGTGCCTAATGTCTATGAAATAAATATTCTTAATATACTTATTTTCATGTTTAAGTTTAAAAATGGTATGCTACCAAGCATTTTCCAAACTTATTTTTTTTCTTTAAACCACAAATACGAAACTAAATACTCAACAAATAATTTTATTATACCAAAAACATTATCAAAACAAGCTGATTTTTCGATATCTTGCCGAGGGCCGCGGTTATGAAACTTGCTTTTAACAAGTAATATAAAAACTTTAAATTCAACTCAACATTTTAAAAGTGCAACAAAACAACACTTATTTGGTTTCGACACAAAGCAATTACTATCGTATTATTAACAACTTTTGGTAATCTTAGTTATTTAATGTCTTATAAATTGACTCAACACCACAATTATATTGTATGGTACTTAGAACATGTATGATATTATTTTATTTTACAATAATAACGTAATTTGTAAATGCAATATTTATTATATCTTACGCAATTTGTAGATGGAATGTAATACAGATTTATTTGATTTGTATGTATATATGAACGGACATATATTTGTGTGTACGTGTGCGTATGTGTGTGCGCGTGCGTGTATAATAAAAATAAAAGTAGAATAAAATAGAGAATTAAAAAAAATAATAATAATGAGAAGAAATAATAATTATTACTATTTTTTTTTTTTTTCTCTTTCTGTAAATAATAATTTGATTTTTAAGTTCTTTTCTTCTTAAAATCAGCTCTTGCTTTAGTTTCTTTTTTCCTTTTTCATTTTTATCGGCTGAGTTTTTTAGTTATATTAACGGGGCTGGATGATAAGATCATGTCTTCTGCCAGCTCCGGTCGAAACTTTAATGTTATAATTTTTATGTTGTAAAAAAACATTGTAAAAGATTATTCATTTAATGACGAAATAAAATAAATAAATAAAATATATATATATATATATATATATATATTAAAAAATAAGAAACAATGATTTTTATTGAAATATCCTTAAATAAGAATATAATACTAAAATAAAAATCAAGTTCTTAAAATAAGAAAAAAAATTCTTAATCTTAAATTTTACTGTGTGGTTTTTCAAGCTTGATTTGTTCATTTATTTTTTGATGTTAAACAATTTCAAAGCTGCGACAGAACGTTCGATTGCAGAAATAGATTTATCAAACAAGATGAATACAACTAACTGTTGAGTTAAATACAAAAGATGCCCGTAAAACGACCGAAGAGTGACATCCGTCAAATTCGCGATACCACTTCATGTCAGTGATGTACTGCCAATCTACATTTGGTGTAATGATGGAATTTCGACTTTGCAAAAAAGGTTTTGCTTGAAACAGTGCAATAAAATCCGCCATTTTTTTAAGCTTATAGCGTTGGTCTTGGTTGAGCCGGTTAATTTGTTTGACCAACATTACAAACTTAAAGCTGTATAATGTTCATTATACATGAATCTTGCACGATGATAAGCAACAGGTTTTATGAACCGAATAGTCTTTTCATCTTTTAATTTTCCGCCAAGATAAAAAATTACCAGATCTTTTTGTACATGAAGTTTTTAAATGAACACTGTTTTATAAATATACTTGGTCTTTATTGCCGGTAAGGATAGTGGTTTTTTGCCCCCTCTTGCTCCCCGGATGCGTTCATAATCTAGAAACCTTTATAAATTTATAGATGACTCTTGTATCTATCTTTTGATTAGAATTGATTAAGTTAACATTTTAATTAAAATTGATTAAGTTATAATAGTTTTAGTTAATAAAAACTTTATTTTGACCACAGTTTCTTCAACAAATCCTAATATCAAAAAATTGGTACTTAAAACGTCATAACTTTTTGTAGGGTGGTTCGATTTTAAAATTTTTTTCATTTTTGGAATATTGATATTAAGCTCTTTTGAATGATATATTCAACCTAGAATTTGATGAATTTAAAAATTTCATGTGACATACCTAAAATTTTAGCATATAAACTTGTCACATTATAAAGTAGTTTTAGATTTTTTAGCTAGCGCGTTTTTTAAATATAACTAATAGTGTATGTGTATATATATACATATATCCCTCTGATTGCTTGCAGGGGGAATCTGAGCTTGAAAAGAATCTCACTTCTGCTACAGCATGGGGCTCACAGTGGCTGGTGAACTTTAATTCAGATAAAAAATTTTTTCGGCCAATTGTTATCGCAATAGTTTAGACCTTCCTATATTTATGAACGGTAATGTACTCGATGAGACTCCTACCCTTCATCTTCTAGGATTAACTCTTACTTCTAATCTTTCTTGGAAACCTTATATCAAATCCGTTGCAAAATTAGCATCTGCTAAAGTTGCTTCTCTTTAACGAGTTCGTCACTTTCTTACTCTGGATTTTATTCTCTATCTCTATAAATCTCAAAGCCGGCCTTGTATGGAATACTGTTGCCATATCTGGGGCAAATCTTTTAATGATGCCCTTTCTCTTTTAGACAAGGTGCAAAAACGCATTGTAAACATAGATGGACCTGCTCTTGCAGCCAACCTTCAACCTCTGTCACATCGTCGTAATGTTGCTTCTCTTTCTCTTTTCTGCAAATACTATAATGGGCACTGCTCGAAAGAGCTAGCGTCTCTTGTGCCATATACTAAAATTCATTCTCGTGTTACTCGTCATTCAATTAAGTCTCATCCATTTTCTGTTACTGTTCCTAAGTGCTCCAAAAACTCTTATTCGTCTAGTTTTTCTCCTCGAACATCAGTTCTTTGGAATTCGCTTCCTTCATCTTGCTTTCCTGATTCATATAATTTGCAATCTTTTAAGTCGTCTGTCAATCGTTATCTTGCTCTAAAATCTTCATCTTTTCTCTTCCAGCAACTTCCAACACTAATTAGTGGTTGCTTGCAGCCTTGTTGGAAGCGAAGATAATTAAATATATATATATATATATATATATATATATATATATATATATATATATATATATATATATATATATATATATATATATATATATATATATATATATATATGATATATATATATATATATATATATATATATATATATATATATATATATATATATATATATATATATATATATATATATATGTATATATATATATATATATGTTTATATGTATATATATATATATATATATATATATATATATATATATATATATATATATATATATATATATATATATATAAACATATATATATATTTATATTTTAAACATATAAGTATGTATAAATATATACACATACACTATTGGTTATATTTAAAAAACGCGCTAGCTAAAAAATCTAAAATTGCTTTATAATGTGACAAGTTTATATGCTTAAGTTTTATTTTGGCCTCCATAGTAAAACTTTTTTCCAACGGAAATTTCCGTGTTTCAAAAATTATTTTAAAAGAAGGAAAATTTCCGTTCAATTTTGTTAAATGGGTAGTTTCCGTACAAATAACGGAAAATAATTCTGTAGAAGTACGGAAATTTTTAACAATGTACTACTTCATAGTACATTTAATTAAGAGTCGATTGTCTGCACAATAGTTATATTGTTGTGTAGACAATTTGAATCGTTTTAAAAATCAATTAATTTAATCATACAGAATAGAATTGTGACTTTAAATCTAGTAGACTTTTACTAGTATTTTTATCAAGAAATTTTTACTTATCTTATTTACAGACCTCCTGTTGGGAGTCAAAACCTTTAACTCTCCTGGTTTTGCCATAAGGCTCGTGTTTAAAAAAAAAAAAGAGTAATATTAAATGATTTGATTGATAATAAACAGTAATACATATAAAAAACCTGGCACCAAAACGTATATCTCCTTTCTCCAAGTTTTTCTAAAAGTTCTCTAAATTTCTCCATAGTTTCTCCAAAACATAAATCTCCTTTTTTTTTCTTTTAAAACTGATCAATTTTTTTTTTAGGTGCTCCGAGAATTCCTTACAGTCTTATCAGAAAGCACTTCAGAAGAGCATTTAATAGGAAGTTCACGCTTTCTTCCTAACCAAGGTTGCAATACTTGCCCAGAGGTAGGGTTTGAACCACGGATCCTTCGTTTCTGAGATAAGTGCGCAAAAACTACTGCTCTAATTGCCTCGATTGCCTAAACTAAATCTCTAAAAACTATAAATGCAAACTAGGCCAAAAAAGGTGTGCAGATTACCCTGTTCATGCTGTTTAATGCAGATTATCCTATTCATGCTGTTTACAACATATGCCAATTTCACTATTTAAAAAAAATATAATTTCAAAATACAACCTCTGAATGCGTCATTAAAAAGAAATCATTAGAGTTTTTTTTATTAGAAATCTTTAAAAGTTATAAAAAAGCTCTATAAATTTTAATAGTTTTTAAAACTTTTTAACGTTTACTCGTTTCTTTTTAACACAATATTTCCCTGGTATTAAAGATTTACAATTTTAGAATGATTCTCTACCAAACAGAATAACTAAAAAGTTTTCTTGTCGATTCACTAACAAATGTTCTTTATCAAATATTTTTTCAAAAAAAAAAATTTTCAAATATTATAAAACAATTTATTCAAAAATTGGGTCTAAAAATTTAAAATAGTTGCTTTTTCCACCTTGAGCCTTTCTTAAGAGCATCTCTTCTGTCACTTGGAATGAGTAAGTCGTAGGCCTTTGACCAGGGCGAACATATACGTTTTTCATAGGATTATCTAATCCAAGTACTCTGCAAATAGCATTACATTTATGGTTTCCTAAAACCTTTTCCATACCCAATGTACCAAGATCAGTTGGCCCAAACTGCTGATCATATGAATGAATAGCTGGATCAGTGAGGATATATTTTCCTTTCGAATACACACCCTAACATTAAATATATAAAAAAATCAAGTTTTCATAGTTCTGACAACTTTCTCTAAAACATTTACGTCATTATAACATATCAGAAATTTCCGACATAATTACATATCACAAATTTCCAACTAGCTTCTTAATAAAAAAAAAGGTCCTGAAAACAAAAATTTAACCGACTAAATTGTGTCAAATAGCCGATTGCCGACTAAATTTGTAAAAAAAAACGAATATAACTTGTAAATCACCATCTTTGGGGGGAAGAAGATTCCCCCCCCCCCCCCCACACACACACACACATACACACGTGTAAAATCGCCTCTGACTGCCATAGACAATATTTTTATTAAAAATTACTTAGAAACATCATTTGAGGTAGGAATATTTAAGATTGATATTAGTGATCATTTTCCAATATACATAACAAAAAAATACAAAAGTTATTCCAAATGACCCAAAATTTCAAATATAAATAAACACAACCTTTCAACTTTTAGCTAAAAGTATAATTAGTAATTATCAATTAGTAAAAACAGTCTAACGAACAAATTATAAAGAACTGGAGTGATGTTTATAAAAGTCAAAATGCAAATGAAGCATATAATTTACTTTTAAACAAATTTCATGAGATTTTCAATGAAGCTTGTCTTAATGAAGTATTAAAAGTAAAAATGAAAACACTTTCTTATCCCAGGATGGATTAAACACTTATAAAATGCTTTAAAAGCAAACAAAAACTGTATAATAAATTTCTTAAAAAAAAAAACACAAATAATGATAAAAATTATATTGGTCTTCTAAAAAAAACTAAAAAAATATTACAGTAAACAATTTACTAAATGTAAGTTGGATACCGAAAATACATTGGCAGTTATCAATGATAGGGTAGACCGGGGCTGGTTGGCAGATGTTACGTGTTTATACAGTTTTATTATTTCCCATGCGCATGCGTGAATCCTAACAATACTAAAATGAATGATGAAATGGTCAATTAGGAAGGTTCTATTTAATTTTTGTCACTTTCTTATGAAAGGCTCTGAAGATAAACGCAGTTCGTCAACTTACCCTTGCGCTTCCTTTTTACTTTACAAAGAAAATGGTTGTATGAAAAAAAAAATATTGTAAAAGTTCAATAAGTTGGCGCAATTTTTTTTTTTAAAGGCCCGGGAAGACCCTAAAAATTTTTTTTTTGTAAATGAATGCAACTTTTATAACACACCTTAATTCAAGCTTTGAGACTACACTTTAATATTTTCGAAAAAATGTGCTGTTAGGGCTACAGACCTAATTCTTATCTAACACCGTCAAATGACAAAACAATGCATGATTTTGACTTGACATTAAAAAAAATTGAATCGGCTTTTGCTTCCATAAAAAAAATACAAATCATCAGGATTTGACAATATTTCCAGTAAGATACTAATTTAAAATAAAAAAAGCACTAAATGTAGACCGTTATTTTTAAAAAAAGCACAAAAATGTAGACAATTATTTTTAAAAAAAGCACAAAAATGTAGACCATTATTTTTAAAAAAAGCACAAAATGTAGACTGTTATTCTTGATCTAAGGAATATTTTTTGATGTACTAAAACTAGTAAAATTATTTCCAATTATAAAAATAATGATCATCCAAATGTTTCCAACTACAGGCTCATATAATTGCTTTCTGTATTTTCGAAGATATTTCAACTTGTAATTTATAATAGAATCTTTGCCAATTTAACAAAACCCATTTTTTTTTTAAATCTAAAACAATTTGAATTTCAGCGGTTATTGAATTAGTTGATCAAATAAATAATGGCTTTAATTAAAACAAACTTACCTTAGGTATAATTATTGATCTTACTAAAGCTTTTGACAGCGTTGATTGTATCTCGTTAGAAATGTTAAAGTATTATGTGGTAATTATTAAGGACTACAAATAGATTTAAAGTTACCTTACTGATAGAACACAATATGTTCAGACAAAGAATACGGAATTCTTAAAATCCTGTGTGAACTACCGTAAGGATCAATACTAGGCCCTCTCTTATTCTTAGTAAATATAAACGACTAAAGTAATGCATATGTCAATTTAAACCCATTTATGTTTGAAGATGATACAAATCTCTTTCTTCCCAACTATAGTATCAAGCAACTTTATGCTGACATGAATTTTGAATTAAATAAGATAAATGATTGGTTTACAGCAAATAAACTCTCAGTATACATTATTTCATAAAAATTCGCAAGAATGAAACCTTCCCTCTAAACTTCTAGATCTATTTTTATAAATAGTAAATGATTGTCAACAATACTTGCTGACAAGCACTTATCTTGGCTTCCCCATATAAAATATTTAATAAAAAAACCATCAGTATGATGTACCGAGTTTATCCTTATGTTAATGTGTTATGCCTTGAATTAATTTACTTTGCTTTAATACATTGTTTTATTATTAATTCCAATGTTACATGGGGTAGCACGCAACCTACAAAACTTAAAAAAATACTTAGTTTTCAAAAACATACATAGTTTTCAAACTTCAGATCAAGACCAAGACATCAAAGAATCAACCCAAGACCAAGACTAAGACTTTGAAAGTTTTAGAGTACTAACAGTGCCATATTACGTAATCATGGTATCCCTGTTTGTACTTTTGGTGTATATTGTTGAGACTACATTTGGAGCCTTTATTACGGCTTAGGGTTTATTAATAGAAATGAGGCAATTGCTTGGACTATTAGAGAGTATACTGTGTACTCTCTGTGCTTTGAGAGAAGCTTTTTAGTCAATTTAAAAAATAACTTAAGTATCAAAAACTATAAAATACTAAAAACGATTGTTATAACCAAGTTTTCTAAATTTATCAACCACTAGTATTCGTTGTCTTTGAAGTAAATTATTTTCTATTGAGTCTTATATTTTTACCAGACCTACATGCTTTTTGTGATTTTTACCCGACCTACATGCTTTTTGGGAGACAAATTTTAGTTCAGCAGTCTCATCTTGTGATGAGACAGCTCAACTCAAATTAGATAGTGTTGATAGCTATCTTCCTTTATTTTATTGGGAAACTAGGTTTGAATCCACAGACTATTTTTTTATGTGCTTTTATTTAGTTCCATTCCACTCAACTTACTTTCACTATGCTCCATATTGCTCTCCTTCATCTCAAGACTAAATTCTTTTTGATCAAATTAATTAACGCTCTCTTAACAAAACAATATTGTTGTTGTTGGTGAATTTAATGATCATCACACTGAACGACTTGGTTCTAGTGTCAGTGACTCAGCAGGTGTTAAAGCCACAACTTTTGCCTTTCTCAATCTTTAAAAGAAATAGTCAACTTTCCAATTGGCTTTCCAAACAATCTGAATCATTTAGTTTCTTTACTCAATATATGTCTTGTTTCTGATCCTAGTCAGTGCTCAGTTTCTTCAAATTTACCCTTAGGTGCTTCTGAATTCAGTTTGATCTCTCTAAAGCTGTTATCTCGTTCTTTTTCATCATCAAAATCCCACTATTATTATATCTCTTACAACTATTTTAAAGCTATACAAATAAAAGTTATAAACTCTTACAACTATTTTGGTAGAAAGCTTTCCTTTTCATGCTTACATATGTGCTACTTAACTTCTTGGATTCAAGCTGCCATTAAATCTTTTATTCTCTCAAGACAATTCCAAGTCAAACAATTATTTTAAAGCTGACTGGAACTCTTTTCGACATTTTCCTTGTAATGGCCTTTGGGTAGAAATCTTTCGTCTTCCTGCTGACAAACGTGCTAGTTATGTAACTTCTTGGATTCAGGCTAACATGAAATCATTTATTTTCTCTTGATAATTCCAATTCAAGTATCAATCTACTCCATGGTTTTTCTCTCATTATGCTACTTCAATATCCAATCGTAACTATTACTCTCATATCTATCGCCAAAACAATTTTCCAGAAAACAGACGACTATTTACAATTGCTAGAAAGCACTGTAAAAAAGTTTTGTTTGACGCCAAAACCCGCTATTCTCATGCCACGAAAACTTGTATTTCATCATAAAAATTAGGCTCTCAAGACTTCCAGAGAATTTTTAACAGTGTCTATAATAAGGTAAATTCTGTCATTCCACCTCTCCTACATAGTTCATATTTTGTTACTTCACCTAAAGCTGAGTTGTTTGCTAAACACTTTTAATCAATCTCATCTATTGATTCCACTAATCACATCCTGATAGAGCCGACAAACAGGTTGATCGATTACTTGATGTTTGTATCACTCCAGCTTCTGTATCTAAATTAATTTCCTTCTTAGACTCTTCTATAGCTTGTGGTCTAGACAACATACCTGTTATGGTCTTACAGAAATGCTCTTTGGAGTTGTCGTCTATACTTTCAAAACTATTTAACAAGTGCTTATCTGTAATTTCAATTTTCAAAAATTCTGGGGAGCAATCTAAATCGTCTAACTAGTGTCCCATTATTCTTCTTACTATCATAAGCGAAGTTTTTGTGTCTTTATTTTATAAATACTTAGTCTTTCATCTTAAATGTATCAACTTACTTTCTTATTGTGAATATGATAGATAGATAATCTTTTTCATCAGTCTAAAAAATTTTTACAAAATTGTTAACGTAACAAACTGATTGGAGCCAGCAGAAGACGGTGGTCTTATCATCACCCGTTAATTTTAATTTATTTTACAAAAAATATCAATTAAATATAAGATAAACATAATTATAAGATATTTAAATATGTATAAATATAAAAACTCGTATGATTAAAATAGCCAAGTAAATGTATCTTTATAAATATAAATACAATTAAATGTATTTTTATAAATATAACCATAACCATTTCCAGCTATAGTGGAAATAGATTAAAAGTTTCAAGACGTGTAATAGTTTTTTTAAAATAAAAGATTGTTTCAGTATTGTTGAGGTCAAATAGCTGTTGTTTAACAACGCATTTAAAATGTTGAAACGAGTTTATCTTTTTAATCTCATTTGTGAGAAATGAGTTCCACAAATGTGGTCTTTTTTTAGATATTGAGAATTTGGATTATCTCAAAGACATTTTGGAATATAGTAGCTCTGCTTAGAATGTTTTGTTTCGTATTTATGATGAATAAGTTGGAAGTAATTATGAAATATTTTTGGGACCAAATTATTTTTCAATTTAAACATAAACTGAAGGATGCTATAGATGTTTTGTTCATCAATATTAAAGACTCTCAGTTTTTTCATTATTTGTTTAGCACTACCATATCCATTTGTAAATATGCGGCATGCTTGCTTTTGTTTTTTATAGACTAAGGCTAGTTTTGATTATTTATTACTTGCCAAGGCAACATTGTCTATATATAGTTTTAGATCTTCTCGTTCTACATCTCGTTCTTCTGATTTGTTAACAATAATAACCAAAAGGTTTTATCTTGCATCAGATAAATAATAAAAGGTTAGGTCAACATTTCTAGAGTCTTTGATAAAATTTGGTAAGTTGGTCTTTTCCATAAGCTCTCTTCAAACGGTGTATCATTTACATATTATTACTGTGTAACAAGAATTCATAAACAAATAAATAATAATAATATAAATAAATTTAATTAAACATTAAAAAAGTTAGAAGATTTTTTTTTTAATTCTCCTATAATAAAAAAATTCAGTTAGAACCTTGTCAAACCAACGCGACGAACTCTCATGGAAAACGAGAACTGGGGCGATTTACGGTTTGTTATTAATAACTAATTCATTTGTTATTAATAACTAATACGTTTGCTATTAATAATTAGTCCTTTTATTATTAATAACTATTCCATCGAGTTGAAATTTTTTGTAAGAATCAAGAAAATAAAAACAGTGAGGTCCAAGACCAAGACCAAAACCATTACTCTAAGCTTTCAAGACCAAGACTAAGACCAAGACTTTAGACTTCAAGACCAAAATCAAGACCAAGACAGTTAAATATGAGCATTGAGGCGTCTCGAGACCAAGATTTCGGTCTCGAGACTCACATCTTTGCACCAAACCTCAAAGTGTTAAAAGTCATCAACCCTAACTCTAACCCTGACTCCAGCTAAATTTATTTATAAGTTTGAAAAAAATATAAATGAAAAGTATTGCCAAAGAACAAAACAATCAAATTTCTTAAAATTGCCTTAGAAATTAAATAAATTTACAGAGTTTTCAATAGCATTTCGACTTATAATATGGAATTATTTTCAAAAAAAATGCTTAAAAAGTTACGGTCAAAATCATTGAACTCATTTAAGTTTCAAGCAAAAAAACACATTTTTAATTATGAGGAACAATAATAACTCCGATGAGTTTTTTCTGAACAGTTTTACTTTTTATTCTTTAAAGAAAGTAGTTGTGTACTTATTCTTTTAGTTATCTATATATTGGTTTATATATTTTTCATCTTTGAGTATTTAAGTTGAAAATTTTACATCTTACTATTATCTGCAGTTTATAAGAACGTTTTGACGATACTTGTTTTTTAAGGGGCTCTATGAAAAGATTGAGGTGGTATTGCATCACCCATATCTTCTTTGAGCCCCGGTCTGTTTTTTTAAACTGTCTTACTTATTTATATTTTTTATGTTAAACTCTTATGTAACTTATTTTATATTCATTTATTTTTTCTTCTCCAGGTATATCATATAAAATATACATTTATTATCGCGAAAAAAATAAAATACATTTACAAATTTATTACGTATCAGATTAATAAAAATACATTAATATAACATTGATACATTAATATAATATTGATGCAAACTTTAATATAAATTTTGGTATAATACCTATTATATATTTATTTATGTATATTTTAATACCTTAAAAAAGGAAATCAAAGAAGATTCAGCATTTTTTTTGAATATTTTTTACTATTTTTTTTTTATTTTTATGTTTTTTATTTTTTGAAATCATTTTTACAAACTTAGAACAAGCAGCTTTGATTACCGTTTAAACAATTATATTCCATTTAAGTCTTTTATTTTTTAATTTTGCAGGTTTTTCCATGTTTTGGGGCTTGTGACATTATTGAAAATTCAGAACCCTGGATTTTAGTTTATTTAATATCGATGGTTAAGAGCAAAAAGGAAATATGTCCAACATTTTACGGTTTTGAGTTATTGCGCGCGCGCCATTCAGTAAGTGATAAGGGTACTATGGTACAAATATTAAGCTTCAACAGTCGACCAATCGGAAGATGCATTTGTATAAAAATCATGACAATAAATAAATATCATGAATTATTGTATGTTTTCAAACTTTCAAATTCAGATTTCTCAATACAATGGTTAGTGGACGTATTCCCTTTGTGCTCTTAACCATCGATATAACAGTTATGCAATCTATTTGATCGCAGATAACTTTGAAAAATGATGACGAAAACGTGTCTAAAAAATAAGTTAAGTAGAATAATTCTATAACTTATTTGAATCCGATATAAATTTATTTATATTGGACTCAAATTTATAGTTTTTCAAAGTTTAAGACTTTCATACATGTGATGACATGTATGAATGGCATTAGAAGGATCGTTCATTCTACTTAGATAATGAATTGCTTTACAAGCATAGTTTATTACAAACACAGTTTTGACTTTTGACCCCAATTCTATGAAAAAGTTAGTTAAAATGAATTAACATATATAACAACTCTTCTGTTTCAGGTCTTTGAGCAGACAAGTAACAGGACAATTTATTTTTTGAAAAAAGACCCTAGTGGCATGAATGAAGACTGTTTGGAATGATAATGACCCAAGGGATTTTCGAAATATTTCAAGAACCACTTAATTAAATTTAGTAATTTCTTTTTATTGTTTATAAGCAAATCTATCTCCTTTTCGAATAATAAAACTGTAGTTTAAAAAAACTTGATTTTAAACATAGAAAATGTATTTGCAAGAAAAAATAAGAAATGAAATTTCTTATTTTTAGGCGAGTGGCTAAAAAAATTGTAATGTTTGCTTGGAAAAAAGAATAAAGTTTAAAGGAAAACCGTCAGTCGTATTATCAAATAATGGAGTGATGGTCGCATATTGGATAGAAAGTTGAGAAACCAAGAAGGGTGGTTATCAATTATAAAACTTGACAAAAAAATGATTAGGTATTTTGATGCCAATCCAGAGTATTCTGTTTGGGATATTGAAAAAAAAAACCCGGGTGTTCCTAAGTCAACAGTTTAAGAAGTCAAAAAGTGATATGGCTACAAGACATTCAAAAAATAGAAACACCCTGGAAGATCCCAACAGAAATTTGCAACTTCGTCCAATTAAAATATTTTGACAAATATGAAACTTAAGTTGTGTATGAAAGGAAAAATTGTGACAGACATTAATTAATTTTGTCAGTTTTGGGTTGGAAAGCTAAACGATGCTCATTTATAGCGGCTGCCACTAATGGTGGACTTAGTAACTGATGAAAAAACATCTGAACCGCTCAAAATATCTATGCAGTTCCACTTCTAATCCTCTAAAACAATGTTTGCTGGGTAGCCTTTGATGTCAGACAGTTAAACTAGTTGAGTTGACAATCAAATTCCCAGTAAACATTGTTTTAGTGGATTCGCATTTATGAACGGTTATTTTGAGTTTTGCTCATTGGTTACTTAGTGAATCATTAGTGGCAGTCGCTATAAATGGCCAGACGAAATCTTTTCGAAACCTTAATAGTGGCTAGTCATCGACTAGCCACTTTTTGCAGCTGCCACTAATGGTCCACTTAGTAACTGATTAGCAAAACTGCTAAGGACAGTTCAAAATGCTTATATACAGGAGGGTGCAAAAAAAAGCCGTGCTCAATTTTTTGATTAAAAAACAAAAAATGTCTTAAACTCATATAATAGTAATTCAGGACAATTTTTAAAGAAGTGTATACAATATTATTGTAAATTACATATAATGAAAAGAAATTAGAATTTGTAAAGTTTTTTCAAGTTTTAGCTGTATTAATACTTAAATGGCCATCCTTTGTTTCTCATGACTTCTGAAGACATCTGTGCTGGCCATAACATGGCTGAGGGATAGATATCAACTTTGGTTTCAAATATCTTTTATTCAATCATCCCATATGTTTGAGATTGTTATCTTATTGAAAGATGTAGTCATTATTACGGAAAAGTTCTTCTATACTTGGTCCAAGTTGATAAACTAAGATTTTGTGATACAAATGCTGGTCCATTGTATGCTCCACCCGGTAAAGCTTTCCTACTTAGTGTGCACTAAAACAACGCCAAACATTAATCTCTTTGTCATGTTTAATGGCTGCCATGCATGTTTGGGGGTTAAACTTTTCCCCAAATAAATTCCAGCAGTGAGATCGACCATTATAAAACAACACAAAAGGAGACTCATTGTTTTAAATAACTTGGCCCATTGCTCACATATCCGATCTTTGTGCTCAATGCACCACTATAATCTTTTTTTACAATTGATTTCACTAACAAAGGTTTTCTTTTTTTCTTTTCAGCAAAAAACTCAACTGGTGCTTTCATTTGACGAGATATTGTCCATTTTAAAATATTAGAAAGGTTCAAATCTAGTTTTATCACAAAATATGTAATTTTACGATCTTTTTTGACGACATTAAGAATATAGCTATCTTTATTTTTTTTAAAGTTTTAGGGTTTCTCCCAAATTCAACAGATCTTTCAGCTGTACCAGTGTGTTTAAGTTTCTTCATCAATCTACTAATAGTTGAGTTTTGTTGTTTAAAACATTTTTCGATTCTTCTGTGAGATTCTCCTTGGTCAGCAACTTCAACAATTTGTCCAATTACTAATTGTTTTCTAAAATATTAAATGTGTTTGTATTAATCTCTTTATTAAAGATTTTATATATATAAATATTAGTGTATATATAAACATACCTTTTCTGACTAAGATTTTTCACTACCACATCCAATATTTTTACTTTTGCTTCCTTAAACATTATATACTTAAAATTAAAAAAAAATGTTAGTGTGGCTTTTTTTTTTTTGCACCTTACTGTAGGTCCACTGAAATTCCGTTATAAAATGTTTGCTGGGTTATTTTCAATATAAAAATATACCTATATATAGTTTACACACAATGGGGTAAAATAAAAGCTACACTTACTTAAACACACACTTACTTAAACACATTTTTTCTTTATTATAAGTTTAAAATTTATAATGTGGCAGTGAGTGGCCTTTGAATTTTAAAATATTTGTTTCGTTGCCTTTTTTATTTTAAGTATTTTTTGGTTGGTTTATTTTCTTAGATATTTTTTGAGACATCACAGTGATATATATTACAGACCAGGGCATAAAAAAAACTGATTAAAAATTTCAAGGTCTAACCTTCAAAAACGACAGAATATTTCAATCATAAAAATTAATAATTTTGGGTATACGCTCTAAATATTCTTTTTTTATATGCATACAAATAATAATATAAATATAACTAAAAAGGACATAATTAATAATATAAGTATAAATAAAAATAACCTTGGAAACACATACTCTGCTTAAAAAAAATTATTGACTTTCTGCTCACAATATATCGAGAGCTTTTAAATTCAAAAAAAAGAAATAAAAGTAAAATATCTAAACTGTCCATGGATCACAAAAAAAAATTTAAAAATCCGCAAAACAAACGCAAAAACTTTACGTAAAATATCTAAAAAATAGAACTGAATCCAATTTATCTCTCTATTTATTTGAAAAAATAAAAAAATAAAAAAACCTAAAAATCTTGTTATTTCTTGTTATAAATACGAAAATCAAATGAAAAAGAAAAAAAAACATTGGACATTATGAAGGAAATAATTTGTAAAAAGAAAGTTTCTTCCAACAAAATGCATTCAAAAATAATGACTAATGAAAAAGAATAATATGAACAGATTAATATCTCAACGAACTTAACACCTATTTTGCCAACATTGGTTGGCAACTTTACTTTAAAAATGACCTTGCATCTAAAATTCAATGACCAAAAAACTCATTTAAAAGTTTCTAAAATAATCTCTCGCTGCTCCTTAAACTTCAACGAAATAAAATGAGTTGAGCTCGAAATAGCCATAAAATCTCTCAAAAGAACTAAATCTCCAGGTATTGATGTCATCTCTTGTAAAGTAGGACTAATGTTTTTGGAGAGATACGTAACCCTATTTTTTAAATATTCAACTCATTACTTAAAACAGGTATTTTACCGAAAAAATTAAAAATTTCAAACCGTTTAACAAAATTTACATTAGAGATTTTTATTAACTTGTCAAAGACGTTTAACAATCTCGATCATGAAACTTTACTTTAAAAAATGCAAAAGTATGGTATACAAAATCAATTCATAAAATGGTACAACTTCTTTAATAGCAGACAGCAGTTGTTATTATAGGTAAATAAAACAACTCAAGTTTAATAAAAACTAGATGTGGTGTGCGATAAGGTTCCATACTTGCTCCTTTTTTTTTAATTATCTAACAACCTTCCGAATGCCTTAAACAACTCTAATACTTAAACTTATTTACTTTTCTTTTTTACATAGCTACCTAATGTGTGCCAATATAGTTTGGGGAAGTACTCATAAATCAAAGCTAGAACCGTTATATATACGTCAAAAACATGCCGACTAGCGTTCAACTAAGACAAATTTACTCACGCTCAGTCTTTATTGGAACAAATGAAAGCACTGACATATTTAGTTCTGGCAACATATCTAGTTTTTATTTAAACGCGAACAGTATATTTTGATAAATATTTGTTTAAAAAATATTTAGTAAATATCTTTTAAATAAATATTTATCAAAATATACTGTTCATGTTTAAGTAAAAATTCGATCTGGTGCCAGAGAATTTTATGATAAATCTTTTTGAAAAAAAATTCAACATCTGGAAACGTTAAATAACCAATTAAAACACAATCACGATTCTCTAACCCATATCGATGTCCCTATTTATACAATAGAATATTATCTAACAACAAATTACTGATAAATTTAAATAATGAAAATTAAACAAAATTAAAAAATCTAGTTATTAAATTAAACAATTATAAAGAATAAACTACTTTCATTCAAAACTAAAATCAAATCAAAACAAAAACCAAAATATAATCTAACAAAAAAAAAAAAAAAAAGAAGAATTTTGACATTTTATACCAAAAAAAGTTTCTAATTGATATTTACATTAATTACAAAGTTACTAATATATTAATGTGTACTACACGTGTAATATAAAGGTACTCGATATACGACTACTTTTAAGTAATTCCAATCTAACTTTAGTTTTCTTTCGCTTTTAAAAAAAAGTATACTTAAAACAGTTTAGTAAATTAATTCCTATTAAAGCATATCAAAAATGGCAAAAGTTTACAAGATATGATATAGTTAAAAAATTTATTTGTAATAACATATAATAATATAGAGATATATCTATTGGAGCTTTATACATTTATATTATGTTATTGTCGTATCATCTTATTATATTTATATTAAAGTTGTATACGACTGTTTTTTGGATACTTGCTTTGTTTATTTTAAACTTTATGTTTACAATATTTATTTTAAATATATATATATATATATATATATATATATATATATATATATATACATATATATATATATATATATATATATATATATATATATATATATATATATATATGTATATATATATATATATATATATATATATATATATATATATAACGGTCTCCTTTTTTTGCCTCCTAAATTAAACTTACCTGAAGATCGCAAACCATATACTTGTGTCCGCTAATGTACCAAGTCCAATGACAAAATGCTGTCAGTAACTCGTGTATATTCTGTTCATAACCTCCATTTGAATTAAACTTGTCATAGTTACCTGGGATGTATGGTTCAATTGCAACGTACGTATTTGGTTTAACAAATCTGTCATCAGAACCTGTTGGAATAAGCCATAACAGCCAAAAGCTAGATACTGTTTCGATCTTAGCAATTAGCGGAATCAAAAATTCTATTTCTATATTGCCCTGAATAAAGTGCTTGATTTTGTGGGCATAATTTCTGCGGAACTCTTGAGCAAAACCATTAGCTTTCTTACTTGCAGCTAGATCTGGTGCCCACATAATGAAGTTTTTAGCATATTGTTTTTTAAACACTTTTGCCACGCATTTCTGACCATTTCTTTTTCCATTTCCCGAAAGTAAACCAAAAAATGCATAACGACATGCGCCTTCAGCAAAATACCCGTTTTCAAACTTTGCGGAGTAACTTTTTCCATCGTTATCATCAGAGTTTACAGATAAAAATGTCTCGTGTGAACTATAACTCCCCATTTAAAATATAACTTCCCATTTAAAATAGCCTAATTTGATATGATATGCAAATATTTAAAATATTAAAGTTAAAAAACCTTTATTTGTTTTTCATGATTCTTAGAATTTTCCTTTTTTCGCGGAATTATATTTAGTTTTACGAAACTTTTTCAGGGTTTTTCTCTGCAAGCGCTATGCAAGAATAGACCTTTTCATAAATATTTCTAAAGATGATAAAGGCTTTTCTAAACAAGGTTGTGCTTGTCAAAACTAAAACAAACACAGCGTTTAACTGTATTTAGCCTGTTGTAATATTTTATTTATTTATTTTATAAAGTTTACCGTTTAATCAGTATATCAATGTTTCTATAATAGTTTCAGTGTATCTTGTGTATCTGTCTTCATTCGGTCAAAATATCACGTGTCATAAAATTGTTATACAAAATATGCAAAATATACAAACACATTACTGACCACTTAAACAAAAATAAACTCATCAACTCTGCTCAACACGGGTTCCAAAAAGGAAAAAGTTGCGTCACAAACATACTCGAAACTTGCGACATCCTGACTGAAGCTGCCCGCAAAGGTTAACCAACCAATATTATATTCACAGAATTTGCTAAAGCTTTCGACAAAGTTCCACACCATCGTCTGCTGCACAATCTAAAATCATATGGAGTTTTCGACAACTTGCACGGTTGTCTTCACAAGCGGTTGTCTCCATCAACAGCATCTCAACTACCATCATTCATCACTCCTCAATTAGTTCGAGAAGAAATACAATTGGCTAGTCAAGCAATTGAAAGGAATCTCAAAAAAATCAAAATCCCGAAAAGCAAGTCAAAATTGTAGTTGAAGGCAAATGCGTTGCGGAATCTTTGATTTTTGAGCAAATGAAGGGAGCAAAAGCAGAATCAGAAGTTAAAAAAGCTAAAAACCAAAACCAACTATCGAAGCAAAGAAAACAGATTATTGGCAGTAAAGAATTTATGTTTTTACCACGGTAAAAACATAAATTCTAATATAGCAGAGAAAAGCAGTAAAGCAAAGTGTCAAAAGTCATTCAATAGCGTAACAACTGATCAGCAAAAACTTTGGTTGCAATGTGAGAAAAGTTCTTGTCGAAAATGGGTTTGTGAAAAATGTCGAACCAAAAAAAATACAATAGAGTTTTATTGCTCATTAAAATATAAAAAACAATGAGTTTTTGGCTTTTGTCTCTTCGTCTCTCATGTATTATAATTTGTAAATTAAGTTTGCTTGATTATTTTAAAACTCTTTTTTTAGTCAACTATTCCCCCCACCCCTCCCACGCTCCCGGGATCGTCTTCACGACTTTCGAAATATCCTACATTTCTAAAAAAAAAGAAAAGAAATAGGTGAAAAAGGTGAAAGGGGAGACATGATGATGGCCATGCCTTTGCTTATTGAATATTTTTAGATTTCTTTTATTTAACTGATTGTTAATGTGTTTTTAAGGTGAATAATTTAAAATAAAAAATTTATGTTGTAAATAACATAGGTGGCAAAATTAGATTTTATTGGGATACTTTCGCTATACTATTTTTTCTGTCCTAATTATTTAAAATATATATATATATATATATATATATATATATATATATATATATATATATATATATATATATATATATATATATATATATATATATATATATATATATATATATATATATATATTATAATAGTTTATAAAAAGATTATTAACAATAAAAAAAAAGTTCGATTTGCCTTTTAAAATTTTGAAGTGCAAGTTCTCAAGTTACTTAAATTTAAGCAGCCGTGCCCAGTGGTAGCGCACTTGCCTGAGAAACAAATGATCCGTGGTTCAAATTCTGCCTCTGGGCAAGTTTTGCAACATTGGTTTGAAAGGAGGCGTGAACTTCGAATTGGATACTTATCCGCGGTGCTCTGTGATAAGACCGTAAGGGTTTCTTGGGGTACCTAAATAAAATTAAAAAAAAAAATTGAAAGAATTAGTGGCGAAATTACCCCATCTTACTCTATCAAAAACAATTTAAATTTCATAAAAATCATTTAACTGAACATGCGATTATTGAATTGATCAAATAAATAATGGCTTTAATGAAAACAACTTTACCTAACGTATATTTATTGGTCTAACTAAAGCTTTTGACACCGTTGATCACTGAATCTTGTTAGAAAATTTAAAGTATTATGAGGTAGTTAATAAGGACTATAATTGGATTACCTTACTGATATAAAACAATATGTTCAAGACAAGCAGTACGGAACTCTTAAAATCCAGTGTGGAGTACCACAGGAATCAAGACTAGGCCCTCTCTTATTCTTAGTTTTAATAAACGACTAAATAAATGTATCAGTCAAATTAAACAAAATTTTGTTAGCTGATGATACAAATTTTTTACTTTTCAAACATAATATCGAGCAACTTTATGCAGACATGAACTTGAAATTTAATAAAATAAATGACTAATTTACAACAAATAAACTCTTATTAAATGTTAAAAAAAAGTATACATTATTTCATAAAAAGTCCCAAGAACTAAACCTTCCTCTGAAATTACCAGACCTATTTCTAAATAATAAATAAATAAAACAGGAAGAATCTATAAAATTATTAGGAATACTTGTTGACAAGCATTTATCTTAGCTTCCCCTTATTAAATATTTACAGTCAAAAGTGAGTAAAATCATCAGTATAATGCATCAAATTCGCCCTTATTTTAATATATTATGTCTTAAATAATATACTTCTCTTTAATTGATTGTTTTATTGATTATGCCAATATTACATGGGATAGTACGCAATTTACAAAACTTAAAAAAGTACTTAGTGTTCAAAAGCATGCGTGTAGAATTATATACGGAAAAAAACTAGTGGAGCACACTTAAACCTTAATGAGAGACATAAAATGATAAATGTTTATGAATTAAATATTTTTCAACTCCTCATTTTCTTGTATAAATATAAATTTTCTTGAATAAATATAAATACAAATGACCTCATTTCAGATAATTTTATTTGTAAATTTGAAAAAAAATATAAATAAAAAATATTTCTTAAGAACAAATCAATCAATTTTTTTTAATACGCCAAAGAAATTAAATAAATATATAGAGTTTTCAAAATCAATTCAACAACCTAAGATATGGAATTATTTTCAGCAAAAAAAAAAAAATATGCTAAAAAAGATATTACGGTAAAATCATTAAATTCATTTAAGTTTTAAGCAAAAAAAACACATTTTTTTAATTCTGAGGATTAATAACTCCGACGAATTTTTTCTAAACATTTTTACTTTATATTCTTTGAAGGAAGTAATTATACACTTATTCTTTTTTATTATTTATGTATTGATTTATATATTATAAATCTTTGGAAATTTTACATCTTCTAATATCTGCAGTTTATTAGAACTTTTTTACGATATCTATTTTTTTAAGAGGCTCAGTGAAATAAGTTAAGTGGCATTGCAATGATACATTATATAAACTAGATAAGTGAAGCCGCTTTTTTTTGTTAATAACAATAGTCCACCATTTGTAAAAAGGGCAAGACCTGAAGCTGAAGTGTCGAATATAAGTTAAAAATGCATGTTAAAAGCTCCCAATAAGTTAAAGATAATTCTAAAACATCAAGTCTGTACTTATTAAAAAGTATTTTAATTCATAAAAATACTTCAATAGCGTCTGTTGTTTTACTTTTCTATTTAAAATTTCTATTCCCATTCCCTTTTTAATCGAAAATAAATTAAGGAATCATAAATTATTATTTTACAAGTATTCTTAATTCCGCTTCAGACTTTTACATCAATAGTATTTAAATTTAAAATATATTTACTTCATTTAAGAAAAGAAAAGTATTTGTTTATAAATTTAATCCGCCATTTGTAAAAAAAGTAAAAAACGGCTTCACATTTTGGATCGTTTTATAATATATGGAGTTTATATAATATATCCTTATGACATTGCATCATTAATATATTCTTTGAGTCCCAGTCTGTTTTTTAAATTGTCTTATTTATATTTTTTACGTGAAACTCTTCAGCAAAATATATACTACAAAAAACAAAAAACAAAAAAAAAGAAAGAAATTCTTAGCTCATTAGTTATAAACATTTACCAATATTTTTTGATGTCCTATAAATATAGTCCGCCATTTGTAAAAAGGGCAAAAGCTGAAACCGAAATGTGGAATAAAAGTTAAAAATGCAAGTTAAAAGTTCCTAATAAGTTAAAGATAATTCAAAAACACATTTTGATAATTAAAAAATACTTATTAAAGTTTTTTTAAAAGCCTATGTTTATTAAAAATTAAATCATAATTCATAAAAATGCTTCAAAGGCGTCCGTCGTTTCGCTTTTCTATTCAAAACTTTAATCTCTTTTTAATTGAAAATAAATTTAGGAATCATAAATTATTATTTTACAAGTATTCTAATTTTCTCTTAAAACTTTTACATAAATACATTTATATCTAAAATATATATTTACTTCATTTAAGAAAAGAAATATTTGTTTACAAATTTAATCCGGCATTAAGTGGTATATATATATATATATATATATATATATATATATATATATATATATATATATATATATATATATATATATATATATATATATATATATATATATATATATATATATATATATATATATATACACACACGGGCGCCAGCAGAGGGGTACAAGTAGGTGCACGTGCACCCCCTAGTTTTTGAAAAAAAAGGAAATGGAGAAAAAGCTTCGTCATCAATATAGCAGTTGGTGTTTGTGTACAACCCGATATCGAGGCGATTGGGATTGAGATCCAACAAAGTTTCATCAGTGGTACTTTCTGATCAAATGCTAGTTTGATCGCGGCTTGTGCTGGTACTCGGGATAGGATCTGCAGTTGTACGTAAATCATCATCTAAATCATCGATCTTGCTCTTCTTGGTTGAAATTAAAAAACGTCACAATTATGTTACTCATAATAATATAGAACAGCATACTTTTTTTTCTTAAAATAAATTTTAAACAAACACTTTATTAAACTTTTTTTTCTATTAAACTGTGTAATGGT